CCTAAACTCACTATATAGCCCAAATGGGCCTCAAAGTAGCAGAGATCCTCTTATTTCAGCCTATTGAGAGCTGGTATTACAGGGAGGAGCCACCACGCCCAGCCGCTTTGCTCTGTTTGTATTACATCTGCTTGTAAGCTTTTAACTGTTGTCAAAGTTCAAAGTTAATGTTTTCATTAGATCTTTTTCCTAAAGATGAAAGACTGCATAATGAACTCTAAATGCATTTAGCCTGAAAGTCAAAATCTCTGATATTGCTCAATTTGATGAGAATTGTTTCATGACACTGAGCCCTCTTCCCTGTCGACGTTAAACTGGACCTGATATGACTGAAAGCTATTTCAGTATTGAGGGACACAACCCAAAATGGTTAAGCAATGGCTTCATGAAATTGTAAAAAAAATACTGGAGAAAACTTTGTATCCAGATTGTTTTTTGCTCTTTTCCCATTCCCTAGTGTTCTTTAAAAAGTTAAATGGTGCTTTGCACTCAAGAAAAAAAGCTCCTTAAAAGTTCATTGCAGGTTAGGAAACAGCATTCATGAAAATCAAATGTTACTCATGAAACTTTAATAAAGATCCTATCATAAGGGATCAAGTATGTAAATAATTAGAAGCATCTTTTGTTCAGAATAAGGGGACACTTGAGGTATAAGACCTATCATTATTCACTGTTTTTCAGGGTATGACATAAATGTCATGTGCTACGTATAAAACATTTGCAATGGGGACAGAAATCTGCATACTTAACCGAGTGTGAGGCTGTGTATGCCAATGACTGAGGACCTCATAAAAGACACTACAGCTCAGGAAAAGTACATACACATGCACACACGAGGTAAACAGAAAGAAGCATACTTAAAGGGTTACATCTCAAGCCCCAAATTGTAGTACACATGAAATTCTACTTTATTTTTCTTTGGCTCAATTTAATACCTATTCTCTCAGTTTTGTCTGCTCAGGGGCCAGTTTCAATTTCACATTTTAAGAATTGCTATTCTTTGTACCAATGTTGCTGCAGTGTTCTGAGAGTTTCACATAATTGTGCAGTTTGGTGAGATCACTTTATAATTCAAAAAACCCCAGGATAGTGACAAGCCCTGCCTGCAAGGCTGGGAGTGTAGCTCAGAGGCAAAGTGCTTGAGTCTCTGGGGTCCCCCCACTCCAGCATAGTTAAAAAATAAAATAAAATAAAATTCCTGAGTGGAGAACGCGATATAGAGAGGGAGAAAAGCAATTTAACAGTGAATCAAATAAGAGGGTCAGAATAAGTATAATTACATATGTATCTTGTAAAAATTCAATTAAAAATGCATTATATACTGACCCAGCAGTTAAAGAGTTGCTACATACTGACATGTTAACACTGTAGTATATTAACTTTTGTTCTGTGGTTTAGCAAAGGCTATTCCAGTGAAAGGAAGAACCAGATATCTTGGTTGAGCCTTTACAGTCTTCATATGCCTATCTTTTCAGGATATTTAAACATCCTTTCTGTGGTTTACTCTCAAAGTCTACTCCAATTTAGCAGATCTAATCATTGGAGCACAAATGTGCGTATGAGGGGACAATAAATAAGAAATAAAAATGGTCATTATTTCAGACCACTATTACCACTGAAAACACCTCACTGCCAATACCTGGCTGCTTCCAGTTAAACTCAGACAGCTGTGGATACATGTATACTTAAACAGGAGTAGAAAAAAAGGGTGATTTGTTTTTCCTGTTAGTATCATACTAGAATAAAAATGTCTTCTTTTGTATCATCTTCCTTGCATTTTTACCAGCCACAGATCTTTTCCCTCCTCCAAATTACTAACATACTTTGGTCTCTTTCGATAGTTTTTAATCTCTTACAAAGATTATTCTCAACTTATTGGTACATTATCTGAGAACAGGTAATTAAAAAAAACACTTGAAAAAAACCACAAGATATTATCCCCACACTTTATTCTGATTTGCTTTAAAATATCAGGGAGCTGTACACACACACAAAAACAAAAGTTACAAAGGCTGTTTGTGCTGGCCACAGCTGCCAAGCTTGGAAGGCTGAAGCACAATACCATGGTGGATAGGGTCATAAGCTTTCTGTTTTTGGAACACAATTCTTGTCATGGACAACTCAAAAGATAAAAGCCTTAAGGTTTATGGTTCCTGGTTTTACAGTTTTCACCCTCAGGTGGGTCAGGTTGGGGCATAAACTTCACAGCTAAAGGGTCTGGTAGAGGTGGTGGAAAGCTGCTCACTTCATGATGGCCTGGAAACAGAGACAGCTGGAAGAGCCAGGAGAGATACAGCAATCCTTGTTTAATGACTGAGTTTTCTCCCATGGAGTACGTCATTAAATGAATTGGTTGCTCAGTAAGAAACCGTGTATAACATGTACTTTACAATATTCAGAACAAAGAAATGGTCAAAGGACACTCCAGCCTGATGACTTTGCTGTTATTTGTCTAACACCTGCCCATGGTATGGTTATGTATAATAGAACATCTAACTACAGCACTGTACAATACAGTAATCAGCAAAAATTATACTACTGCATAAACATGGTATACTGTACCATAAAGATATTTATGCTTTATAAACAAGGTGTACATAACTATATCAAAAAAGTGGGGTCATAAATTCGAATACTCATTAGACAGGTGTGTCATTAAATATGAAATGGCTGTACTCTGAAGTAGGTAGTCCCCAGTGACCCGGTGCTTTCACCTTGACCCACATCCTAATGCCCCACCAGCTAAAAACTCAACAGTGTGCTGACCTATTGATGAGTTAGTTCCTTAAGGATTAAATCACCTTCAGAAAAATCCCACCTCTGAAGATACTTGGGAGACATTTTTAAAGAGTTCAATCACAACAATAAACAAACCTAAGATGCAAACCACACATCTAGTCTATCATTCTGAAAATCTGAGATTATTCTCTCAGATGACTTAATCAAATGAGTTTCCTTTTCAAGTATAACAGATTAATTTCACAGTAAACTGGAAATACTTCTAATGACTTTTTCCTACCAGTACTACCAAACTAGGTTCCTCCTTCTGCATCATACGCAATGCCTTGCTAATTTCATACCTCCTATTAGAGATAGAGATTATGTTTGTTTATTGACCTATCCATTTAACAGCTGTTTGAACTTACAATTCAGGTATACTCTTCAGACATGACAACTCATCTTTTTTTTTTTTTTTTTTGGTACAGTTCTCAATATCCTGCTTATAAAGCCTCAATGTCTTTTTGGTATACTATGCCTTGTTTATACAGTACTATAGTTTTTGCTAACTACACTGCACAGTACATACTATAGTTTTATGTTGTTACACGTTACAGTACTTCATGTAAAAGTTATACAAATAAAAACAAAGACACCGAGTTTCCTTTGACCATTTCTTTGTTTTGCATACTTACAGATAATATGCAATTCCTCATTTAGTGACCAATTCATTTAATTACCTAGTCACTCAGGAAAGGCACTCAGTCATAAAATAAGCAATCCCTATATATAGTCTATCGTATTTAGGCACATTCACTATACATGCTGTACAAATAAACACTGTATTTATTGAAAAGAGAAATGTCTTCAATATATGTATTATTTTTGTAATGTCTGACACTGAGGAAAAATTAGCTATCTGACAAATTTTGGATATCCAGGCAAAACAAGCAACGTCATGCTTGTTTTGTCTGGATATCCAAAAATATGTATGATTTGCCTATTTTGATGCAGAAGGGAATGATTTGGCATAGATCTTTTGAGACTTGTCAAAGGGCAAGAAAAATTTCTCAGTGCATTATTTTTAGGGGGCTCACTTTTAAGACTACTTGCTTCCAACATTTCTTTCTGGTGATGATTAAACTGATGCATGTGGAGGAATGGAACGCAGTCCCTAAAGGAGGCAAGTCTGTAGAGTTCTCATTCATACTTTTATCTATGTCAACCACTGACTTCGGGGACACGACGACACCAGTACAATCCCTGCACTCTGACCACACTCCAGCACGCCTTCCGCGGGGTGAAGCCAGGCACCTAGCATGACCCCGCCACCCTCCCAAGGGCTGCCTCAGCAAGCTCAACTCACTGCTTCAACCAACACTAAAGGGACTAAAGGGCTCAGAGAGGATGCTTTTCTGTGTCGCTTGCTAAATTAGGACCCGAGAGCTGAACCCTTTTCCTGCAGTCAACTAGACCCTGGTTTGGCTTCAGGTTTCTGAGGCAGAACAAACCCTGCGGGTCACCACCTGTAACCTACCTGTCCCTTTCTCCTTTTTACCTGTCAGAATACTGAGCACCTACATTTCTCCTTTTCCTATTTAAAAAAAAAAAAAAGTTCCGTCTGCGGGAATCGGAATAAATTCGGCTTTTTCTTCCGACTATCGGGAGTGGCCGGCTAATCTGCACCTCAGCTACATGGCTGATGGCGACTCTCTGGAAACCAAATCTCAGCTCCTGAGCCAAGAGGGTTCCAATTATAAAGTACCACCTCACATTCAGGATCTACACAGAAGATTGCTTTTTTTTTTTTTTTTTTTTGTCTTTTTCCTTTTTATTGGTACCGGGGATCGAACTCACGACTGCCTGCTTGCAAGGCAGGTACTTATGCCGCTGAGCTAAACCCCCAGCCCCAGAATATTGCATTTTTGAGGAAAACAGAAAATACTCATTCTCTCAACACCGACGATATGGAAAATGGGTTTGGTTTCTCGCCCTATACTGTCTTCCCTGCTGCCCAGGTTTACCGTAGCAGGACTGTGCAGCCTCTATGTCAGCGCTAAACCGAGGACAGAAGGAGCCAGCTGAACACAGCCCCCGAGCGCTGGGCGCCTGTCACAGCACAGAAAGGCTTTCAGCGTTGGGGGCGGGACTTCCGGGCCCGGGAACTTTGTGGAGAGTTCACGCGCGAGCCCCAGGCAGAGAGGGGGCGGGGCCAAGAGTCGGCCGTGGGGTGGTCCGAACACTGAGGTGGGAGAGGCAGGGCGGAAGTGGGTCTCGGGAAAGCGGAAGTGGCCCTGGAAGCACCATAGCTGTACGCTGGCGGGGTCCGACTGCGTTGTACGCTAGGTGCTTGGCAGCTGGAGGTCTCGAAAATCGCACAGCAATGGATGCTAGCGTCTTTCCCGGCGAATTTCGAGTGCTGAGCTTCCCGTCCGCGCCTCGGGCTCGCTGTGAAGTCCCGACGCAGGCGCACTGCCCTCTGCTTGTGAGAGGTCCCGGCCGTGGGAGCGGCTCCCCAGGAGCACTCTCGGTCCCGGAGCTCTGTGAGCCCACCGTGCTAACTCAGGCAGCGCTACTCGAGGTCTGTAGGCTCCTTCACCTCTGCGTCTCCTGCTTGACTGAAACATCTCCAGTATCATTTGTGTGATGCTGCTGACTTCTCAGAAAGTGAGCCACACTGTCCAGGTATGGGTGCTTTCTTTCTACATGCGTGACTGTTTTTCGGTGCTGCAGTCCATCTACCACTACGCACATAGGCGAGGCTGTAGATTATTAAAGCCAGAGGTTGAAAAGGCTGAGGACCAGGAGGTCCCCTCACCACTGCTGTCCTTCCTCACTTCCACGTCTTAGAACTTACAGTGCAGCTCTTTTGTTGCCCTAGGTGTTGCGGGAACACGGAGGAACTCGCCATAGGAATACCTACCTGGAGAACCATCTGGTGAAGAAAGACCTACCACTCGTGGGAGGAATAAGTGTCGAGGAGGAAGTGTCATTGAGAAATTTGGAGGAGGGACAACGACATAAAACATCCGATCTTGACAGTGATTTGGCAGATGAGTACATAAGGAAGCAGTTTGGTAGGGAAAGAGCGTTTCAGCGAGGGAAAGCAGCTCGTGGACAGCGCCTGGCTTGAACTGGGTGAGTGCTGGGTCCAACAGTCAGTGAGGGGTTTGGATTCCGTCCAGATTCTTAAGTCATTGTGTGACATTTAGTCTTTTGGCAAGTAATATTCGTCAGGACCTGTTCTAGGTACTGCAAATGTCATCTTGCAGCAAAAATTGGACAATTCCATTAAAGAAGTAATTAAGGCAGTGAGTGAGGGTTAGGAGGTGCACTAGGCCATGAGTGCGCTCAGTAACGGTATTAGAAGAAATAACTTGAAATTACTCTGAGGAAGGACAAAGTGAAGTAGGTAGAAAGATTGCATATTCTAAGGCTTAGGAAAAAGTGTGTAGGATTTGAAGATCTGCCAGTTGTTTGTTTTGACCTAGGGTTGGGAATAGAGTGCAGGTGGCCTGTAAGATCTTGAAAGATAATTTATGCTATGTCAGCCTGAAATCAAATTGAAGCTTGAGAATCAATTGTATGTTGACAGTCTGAAGGGATGAACTTTCGATTTTTTTCCTTGTTTGCTATATGCTTTAGCCTATTGTTTCCTTATTAAGTATGGATTCTGAGCTTAATGATTCCAAAATAATGGATAAATAGGAAACGACTTTTAGTGGAACAGTTAGCTTATTTTCTGTTTACCAAGGGAAGCTGTTATTTTATCACCTTTGTAGAACTTGAACACAAACAAATTGGAGAGTGAAAACTGGTCTCAGATGGTCAGGCAATTTCTCCTTTTTTCTTGGTTTCCAGCAGCTTGGCAGAGAGTTTGCTCAGCTGCACTAAATCTGCTTTGTATTGGGGCAGCAAGGCAGCATGCATTTTTAAGCATTTTTGCTCTTAAGAAAGTTATAAAATTTTAAATGCCTCAGGACCTTGTTGAATTTTAGTTCTGGGAATAACCCAAATATATATTGTTTATTTAGTTGCTTATGTGGATTCTGCATCTTAGGCTTGCTTACTTGAATTTTCAGATGCTACTACAGTTGATTAATGACTAATACCTTATGTTTGCAGCACTGAATTCTTGTGTACCTTAGTCTCTGAACTGGGGACTAGGATGAGTGCGTACATAGTAGGGTATCATCAAATTAATTCTTTGGACTTGCACTTCTTAACTTGCAGCCAGCAAATCTACCAGGACTAACTACTCTCTGTGAGCTTTTCTAATTCTATGCTGGTACAGACAAAAAAAACCTGAAAAAAGAAGAGAAAAGAGGACGGGTAATAAGAGGAGTTAGAATGAGAGGAGAAAGGGAGAAAATATGTAATTAATAGAAAAGAATTAATAGAAAAGAAGGCAGGTAATGTACTTGCCTTAGGGTAATCCACATTTGAGAGAAAGGTCAAAAGTTTATAATGGGGGATAAATTAGAGACATTTGTTAGAAAACAGATATACCTTGAAAACATAATATTAAGTGAAATAAATCAGTCACACAAGCTTAACTACCATATGGTTTCACTCATTGAGTAATGTGAAGTATGCATAAAGAGTAAAATAAAAGATTGATCAATTAGGGACAGAGATACTTTGCATAGTGGAAAGGGTCCAAGAAACTGAGGTTGGGGAGCATAAATAGATTCAAGTTTATGATGTGCCAAATACCAACAATGAATTTAATCACTATATGTTGCAAATATGAGCTGAGAAAAAAGAATAATAATGAAAATGGGGAAAGGCAATCTAGAGGTAGAGGGAGCAAGTTGGGTGGGAAGGGAAAGAATAAAAAGAATCAAGATACGTTAGGTACATAAAGAAAAAAGGATAAGTACATGAAACTACTCCTAAGGTGAATATAAACTTGATAATGCTGCAAACATGTACTCATAACACTTTAAAAAGATTAGTGCAGCAAAAGATTATTGTTATATACACAAGTGTTTAATGATTTAATGATAAGGAGTTGAAAATCTGATAACGTTCATCCTAACTGCTATGGTATAGACAGAGTCTGTACAAATGAAACCAGAAGCTAAGTTGTTCATTGTGTGTTATTTCACAGTGATAATTAAAATGCTGATGAGTTTATAAGGCATTCCTCTTTATTTTCTAGTTCAATTCTTTGTTCTGTTCCCTAAACAGAGCGTTATGACACAGAGGCAAGTTTAGTTTTCTAAATAGCCAGCTAAGCCTTTATCAAGTTTCTTTTCCATTTTTGTTTGAAGTCATGATCAGTGTGGAGAAAAGCAGCAACTCTGCCCTGATTACTTTTCTCCGTTTAGCTAGCTTCTAGTATCTGAGTAAAACATGTAGAGCCTAGTGTCCACCTTAAAAACAAGCTGCTGGGGAGTCTGTGTTTGGCTCTGAACATGTAGGCCTTTCAGCTTTGTGAACTGAGCTGGTGAGTAACCTTGAGAACAGATTTTTCCCTAGGCTAGAAGGAGGCCTAACGAGTGAAAAACTGGAGGGGGAGGGAAGGAGAGAAAGAATGGGAACAGAGGCCATTTTGGATACATTGTGCAGCATTAATAAAATCGTATAGGATATTTTTGTCCTTCTTTCTGAAAGGCAACAGAAATCCAGGAACCCAAGATCAATGGACAGTAGTGGCCCTGTGGCAGGCAGATTTTGGACAATAACTGTGATACCTGTGACGCACAGACAGAGTTCCTGGACTTGCATTTCTTGGAAGCCTAACAGTGCAATAATTTTTTTTTCTGTGCTGTAAATGTAAATCTGTACATCGGTTGATACCAGTACAACAATAATCATGTTCTCTATCATCTAGTTTTCCATATTTAATTGTAAAAGTTTTAATTAATTGTATAATGGAATTAAGGGTCTCAGTCTGTCCCGTGTTGCTACAACAACAGAAAAATATTGGGTGGTTTATAACGAATAAAAATTGCCTCAGTATGATAACATACACCTGTAGTCCCAGCCATTTAGTCAGCTGAGACATGAAGCTCATTTGAGTCTAGGAGTTGAGGGCAAAATACGGAGGCCTCGTCTTAAAAACAAATAAAACTTGTTCCGGAGGCTGAGGAGTCCAAGATCAGATGCCAGCATCTGCTGAGGGCTGTCCTGTGCTTCTGAGATGGTGTCTCCCTTGTTTCTGCTTCATAGGAGAGGAGCTCTGTGCCATCACGTGATAAGAGGTCAGAAGGGCATGAGTGACAGACTCCACCAAGTCCTCTTGTGAGGATACCTAACCCTAAGCATGAATGCAAATCCCACAGGACTCAGTTTTCTCCCAGAAGCCACACTTCCCATTTGTTGAAGTATTTTTCAGTGAACTTTTGAGGGTACAAACACATTCAAATCATCTTTTAGCCTTAGGTCTCTCTATTTTCTAAATTTGTTTCTAGGTAAGGGTTTAGGACTGTGTAATTTTAGTGCTGTAATAGCATTAACATGATCTAAATGATCGATTAAAGAAGTGATACTCTGAAAACTGCAGGGCTAGAATATCTTAAAGTTGCCGTCCACTACTAGCTTAGCCAAATGGAAATAACCAAAAAAATTTTTAAAAAGATGATCTGAATTGGTTTTCCTTTTGTTATTTCTCTGTAGACCCAGAAGTGCTGATATATTACTTGATTTTATTTTTTGTATTGTTAGAACTTCAAGATTTAGAAAGAAAAACGTAGTATAATCTATAAAGTTACTGGTATTTCAGATCAGTCATATGTGTAGAATATTAGACTACATGATAAAAATTTTACTGGTAGGAAAAGTAGATCCTTTCAATGCAAATCTCTGTAAATGTTATGTAAATAGTTAAACTATATTGTTTAGGGAATAATGACAAGAAAAAAATACATGTGCAGCCCAGATATAATTGTTTTCCATCTGGGATTAGTTACCTCAATGACTGTAAAACCTGTGGCTACGAGGGGCCAACTGTATTTGAATTACTTTGTTTTATGTATACGTATTTTGTTTCCTTGATGAAACTGAAGGTTTTATTTAATGGAAAGATGACGTATTTCTCTCCAAAATAGGAATTTAGCTTTTTGAATTGCTATAAAATAATCTCTTAGCAACTACATGTATCTATATTCTTAGATTCTATTATATGAATTTCTTAGCCATAAAACCCTGTTCAGAAGGTTTCTTCCTGTCCCATGTGCTTAGCAACTAATCAAATCTTTAGTTTTTAAAATGTAGCTAAACTTATAGCTGTTATGTGCTTCAAATAATCTAATAAAGAATATTGTCCAATTTAAAAATACTTCAATATTAGTCTAGTTTATATATCTTCAAAGTTTGTCCTTAAAAAAGCACAGAAAGCTTCAGAACTTCCTTTCAATGATGTGGTTTGACATAATTTCCTATTTTTTCTGTGACCTTGACTGTAGAATTGGGTCTAGGTAGAGTAAAAGTAGAACTGAAAAAGAAACCACTAGTGGATGGGAATGAGAGTTATGATCACAACAGAGCTTATAAGCAAACTTTAGATAAATCCTGTTGTGAGAATATAGGTCTGGTTAGCTAAGTTGTTGCAAGAACTCATTGCTTTCATTTCTACATAGCTCTGAAATGTTTAGTTTACATTTCTTCCACAGAGAAACCCAAAGTATAGGAGGATCTTGGGACTACTTATTATTTACATGTAGATAATTACTGAAGAAGCCTTCAGAAACCTTGGGGAATTTTTCAGAAGAACTTCATACTGCTAATTGATAATTATGTTTCTCATAGACTTGAATATTCTGCCTTTATTAATTTATTTTTCCTCAAAGTTCATTCTTTGGGTGGTGCTCAAGCACGACAGGGCCATTATTTTAAATATGCTCATTTTCTGTCAGATTGGATGCAAATATTCATACTTCAACTGGTGTGAATAAAGAGACTTGGTTACCATGCAACACCTAAGAATAAACTGAAGTATCTTAAAAATGATCTGAACTATTTAACAGCACTGTTCTATGTGCTTGAACACAACAGACCTCTGAACAAAGGACTTGTCTTTGCATTTAAGTAGTGTAGCGATTTTCTAACTGTGCTCACTAAGTCTTGACCATAATTTCTGAAGTGCTTCCTTTTCATAGTCAGACATTTTACTTCCCCTGGAAAATCAAGAAAATAACTTTGAACTAGGCTGTAATTTGGGGAATGGAACTGTTCTGGTTAAAGAGATAAGTTACATAGCCAATGACTACTTGCAGAAAAATCAAGCGGGTCATTTGTTTACTTATGAATTTATTATTAAGTATGCAGTGTAGTTACTGATTATTTTTGGCACTCAATCTAGAGAAGTACAGAGAAAAAGAGAGAAGACAAAGATTAGAGAGGCCTTTAATGTAGGCACAGCAGAGGCTGCAGAAAGGGGAATGTTGGGGGCGCTCTCAGTAGGAACAAAGCAGTGGAACTACTTTTATCAGTTTTGGTTGAGGGAGGAGTTTGGGAAGTGGGCAGAATGACATATTAGAAGCTGATTTGAAGGAGCATCTGCCTGTGCAAAAGAGCAGACAGATTTATTTGAGGGTGGGGGTGGAGGCTTGAGTGGTTGTGGAGTCTTGTGGTTGGAGAAGGCTTGGTGCAGTTGCCAAAAGGGAATGGGAGGTTTATCTCTGGAATGAGAAGGAGAATATAGAAGTTACTCTTGGAGAGAGAAGTTTTTCTCTGGGTCCAGTACCAAGTAGAGCAAATGTCATGTTACAGATAGCTAAGCCCCAGGCCAGCAGAATCTGTGGGTAATACTGTGTAGTGTTGGATGGCCACCTTTGATGGTCATTCCTTGTAGCCTTCTGGGTCTTCAAGAGGCTTTAGGCACCTTAAAGTTAGGTTGTACCAACAGAATCAGTAAATGCCTTGTCTGTCACTTTTCAGATTTTGTAGCCAAAACTGATGATGGGATGGGAGGATTTATACAAGTGAGAATATTCCATAGTTTTTGGAAAAGATGTCTAGAATTGGCAAAGGTTAAGATGCTCAAAAGAACTTTAAAAATTTAGATATTTTACAATTTTTAGCATTTCATTTAACTACTTTCCCTGGTTGTTTAGTAGTTCTGTTTAACATGTTGATACAATCTTTTTTTATATTCTTTTTTTTTTTTTTTTTTTGTCTTTTTCGTTTTTGTTTTTATCGGTAGCAGGGATCGAACTCACCACTGCCTGCTTGCAGGGCAGGCGCTTATGCCGCTGAGCTAAATCCCCAGCCCCTGTTGATTCAATCTTAAACAGAATTCTGGGCCATGTAGTACTTTTAATATTTTTGACTTTGTCCGTAGCCACAGACAGCTGGTGATTTTTTGAAAAAAGAGTGAATCTATAAGGATTGTGTCATTCCAGGAAAGAATAACATTATGCCAGTTGAAATCAGATTCCACCACAGGACTTAGGTTGGCAAGTTAGAGCACTTTTTTTTCTTGAAGATTAACATTAAATACTCATTTTAGGCTGTTGGTCCATCATAAGACAGGGTGGCAAGTTAGGGTACATTTTTCTTGGAAAAATAACACCAAACAAGTCTACCACTGAGCTTATTCTTGGATATTGTTCTTTAAGAAAATTGTGACTTCTCATTAAGCCTTCTAAAATATATTACAGATTATTAGGTCATTATCTCATATTGTTTATATTTTTATTAGATTTAAGAAATATTTTGATCTTATCAATATTGTGTTTAGAAGATAATACTTGGAAAAACTTTCCCCATGTTCATAAAATGCATCTATTTGAGAGATTGCGTCCTACTTTGTATTCTTAGTTCCTTAAATAGGACTGAGTGTTGTGCTGAGACACTTTGCCAAAAATGTCACTTGTAGGTAAAGCAATTTAAAAGAAATAATAGTGTACTGAACCTTTTTTCTAATACTGTTTTATATTTTCATAGCTTTATAGCAAGTTCATGTCTTTCCATTTGGCTATACTTCCTCCATGAACCTGTTGGTAAGAGGGAATACTATACTAGACCTAGTGAAATAGTGTATGTATCTCAGAGAATTCTCAGAAAACACGCTTCTACTGAGAAAAAAAAAGAACAATAAAATTAAACTGATACATACTCATACTTACCTGGCAGGGGCGATTCCATGATCATGAAGGTGGTTTTTCCAGGGTGAGGCTCATCCATTTGAACTCCAGATGTGCTGACACCTGCGATTTCCCCAAATGCAGGAAACCATACTGCATTAATTTGTGGTAGTGGGGAACTGTGTGTACTCGCTTTCCCTTGGGCAGAAAAAATTAAACTGGTATATGGAATGTGTTAAAATGGGACTCAGCAATATCATGGGCGAGGATCAATAAAGGCTGTTTTTTTCTAGGGAGGGAATCATTTTTAGGTGGAAACTTAGAAATTTAGTTTTTAAAGATGATTGGCTGTTTTGCAGGTCAATGCAAGAGAGGATTTTCTAGGAAGGATAAAATAATATGAAATAGGATGGCAAATCTTGGGACCTTGTTTATTTGCCCATGTACTTTGCATAGAAATGCATGAGAAACAGAGGCAAGATTTAAATGCCAGCCAAATGAAAGACAGCTTTAGACTTTATCCTTTAGATAATATAGAGCTCTTGAAAAACCTTAAAATTGTAATATCCTATTTGGATTATAAGGATATCCAGGAATACATTCTGAATTGGAGATAAAAATGTGAGTTTTAAAAATTACACTTTTTAGGAAAGCTGTGGGCAGAAGAGTGAAAGATCTCCAACAAGTCTGTAATAAAAAGGGAAATAGAAAAAGTAGACAAAATGTTTGAACAGATATTTTTACCAAAAATTATATGCAGGTGGGGAGGAGCAAAGATGGCAGATAGATAACAACTGGCCACAGAAGCTCCCATAATACAGAATGGGGAGCCCCAAACAGAGGGTAATGAATTCTCTCGTCCCAAGAAGAAATTAAGGTGAGAAGAACCAACCAAACATACAGTCTCGGTGCTATTATTGGAACAACTAAAGGTTCAGTGTTCTCACCATAGTGGGCGACTTGCCAACCATCCAAGGTCCTGCCACAACTTGCCAAGCTGTCCGAGGTCCCACCACTTTGACTTACTGGAGGCTCAGTTACATTGAGTTCAGGAGTTGGCGAGCCAAATGGAGAGTTGAGTTGGCAGGGTGCCAGCATTGACCTGTGGTCAGTGACAGGAGGGGAGCCATTCCACAGAAAGGGGAGCTCTGGCGGATGACATTCTTGTACTGGGCAGGACTGGCAAGTACAAGGGGCAGCAGTGACTTCAGTCAGTTGTTCCCTTTCCGAATGGGATTGGTGGAGTGAGCTAGTCCTGGATCACATGACCTGGCTGAGACCCAATAGGTTATCTGAAATCAAGCCCCTACAGCGATGGCACACACTAACCACACTAACACAGTGAAGCCTCAGAAGTTTGACTGACCCAGAGGGAAGGTGGCGCAAAGTAATATATTGCAGGCCACAGCAACTTGATTGACCCGGAGGGGAGGCGGCAAAAAGTAATACAGTGCAGGCCACAGCAGCTTGACTGATGTGGGGGGTGGGGAGGATGGACAGTATACACTGTCCCTGTCTGCAACTCACTAGCACATGGCAGTAGGAAGGGTCATCTAGCCAGCGTGCTTCAGAAGAATTGTAACCAACAAAGAAAGAAACTGGGGCCTCTTGGAAGAAGCAAAATAGATGGGAAGAGGAAGCAATAACAAAAAGTCCCCAGGTCCCAACCCTGACAACAATGACCCAGGACAGGTATATACAAAGAAGAATGAGAACAGAAAACATGCAGTATGAAACACAATGCCAGTGGACATAAAGAGATATATTTGGAACCTCATAGACAAGTTCAAATGTGAAATATTTAGCCAAGTAAAGCAAGATATAAGAAGATTAATAAAAGAGATAGTAAGCATCTCTCAAGCAGACACAGACGAAAGAAGGAACTCAAAAGTGAGAACCATTTGATAAAGAATATAAAAAAATATAGAATACATGAAGCAGATTCAAAGAGATTACTAGGAAATTAAAATCTCTATGGAAAGATGGCGTATCAGCTTGAAAGAAACTAAGGATACATTATCCAAACTGGAGGACAGTTTTGCAATGTGGGATTATGAAAGGGAAAACTTTAAAAATAACAAGGGAACAAGCAGTAACAATACGAAGGCTAGAAGACGACAAGAGGATCTATAATTTGAGAATAATGAATGTGAATGAAGAAGCAGGGTTACAAACAAAGGAACTACAAATGCTATTCACAGAAATAACTAGGGAAAACCTCCCAAACATAGGAAAAGGAAATGATATTCTGATATATGAGGTATACAGAACTTCAGCCACCTACAACCAAAACAGGCATATAATAATCAAGATCCCTGAAATTCAGTATAAGAACAGAATATTAAAAGCTGTTAGAGACAAGGAACAGATAACCTATAAAGGAAGGCCCATCAGAATAATGGCAGACTTCTCGACATAAACCATCAAGTCAAGAAGAGCCTGGAGCAAAATATTCCAAGCCCTGAAAGAAAATAACCTCTATCCCAGATTGATATATCCTGCTAAACTGTCTCTAGAAATTAGAGGAGAAACAAGATGCTTCCAAGACAAAGAAGAACTTGGGAAATTCACGACCACCAATCCAACTCTACAGAGAATATTGCAGGGCAGTCTAGAGAGAAAGAAAAGTACTAGGATTCCAAGAACAGTGGCAGAGAAGCCTCAATGAATGGAGTTGAAAACAGAATGCAGAAGATAAGCAGACAACTGATGGCAAAAAAAGCACATAAGAGAAATGAGGCAGAGAACATTCTATACAAAACTGACATGATTGATAGTATCAAGCCTGAGTATAGGCAACTACCCTGGAGATGACAAGACTCTATGATACACATTCTGGTTTGATAACTGCCAGTTTTTGAAGTTCTATATACAAAGTCGTGTTTTTATTAATACTGTTATGTACTAATGTATTCAATTATTCTATGTCTGATGATATAGCCAATTCAATTGGACATAACAAGAGACAACACAGGAACTATGGTAGAACTCTTTGTACAACGGCCTTATATGTCTTTTTCATTTCATGTGTTAATAGGAATATGTTTTGTTTTGTCTTGCTTTGTTTTATTCTTCCTGTAATATAGAAAGAATAGAAATACAGGTTAAGACTCATGCATGTGTAAAATCTGTAAACAGTTTATGAGAACTGATCTTATGACACATGAAATGAACAGATACTTTGAAGAAAAAGAGACACTAAAATATCCAGTGCTGATCTTGGAGTGTCATAATTAATGTGAAACCCAGCAATAGTATTCTTTGTTCAGAGTGATATTACCCCGCTTGGGTTTATTTAATCGCAACCCAATTGAAGATATGTATAACTGCATGTATGTTTAAGTGTATAGGATTGATAACCATATTTCTAAGTTTTCGTTGGATAGTTGAACAGAACTGGTTGCAGTCTCACTGAATCCCTTTATATCCTCCACTTTAGTATCTTGAACAACTATTTGTGAAACGACAATATGTAAACATCAACTAGTGATTTCTTACTGTTTATTTTTTTCTTTGAAATTATGTATTATTTCTACCCATTTTCTGTTTTGTTTAGTATTTCTTTAAGTTAAATTTTAACAAAAAGACACTACAGTGCCCAATGCTGATCATGGAATGTCATGATATGAAATCCAGCAATTCTATTATTCTTTGTTCAGAATGATTTTAATCTGTTTTTGTTTGTTTAATCTAAACATAAATGAAGCTATGGATAACTGCAGGTATGTTTAAGTGTATAGGATTGACAACCATGTTACTAAGTTTTTGTTGGACAGTTGAACAGAACTGTTTGCAATCTTGCAGTTTGAATTCCCACTTTACATGTTCCATTTTTGTATCGTGAACAGCTATTTGTAAAACGACAATACATAAATATCAACTAGTGATTTCTTACTGTTTTTTTCTCTGAACGTATGTATTATTTCTAAAAAAAAAAAAATATATATATATATATATGCAGGTGACCCATGAGTGTATGAAAACTGGTGTTACCTTCACTGTACATCATAGAAATATAAAACGAGACCATAATGCTAACTTACAGTAGAATGAAATAAAAAACACAATGGGAAGTGATAAGGTTGTAAAGGAATGCTGACATTCACTGTGGGGATACACACTAGTCTGACCATTCTGGAAAACTCCTACCCAGATCCTCTGTAATTGAGGGTGTTTGGTCATTTGGCTCTGTGCACGTATAAGTGAGAGAGAGAGAGCGAATAAGAAGTTTCACAGTGACCAGTTTGAAGCTACCATTGGTTTAAAAAAAACCAGCTTGGGGCTGGGGATTTAGCTCAGCGGCATAAGTGCCTGCCGTGCAAGTAGGTGGTCGTGAGTTCGATCCCAGGTACCGATAAAAAGGAAAAAGACAAAAAAAAAAAAAAAAAAAAAACAGCTTGCAGAATTCTTCACTATTTAACCATTTGTGCATGCCAGACTGCAGCATGTTCGAGTCCTAGATATGTATCAACCAAAATGCATCCATATTGCCCAAAAGACACATGCCAAAAGTATTTATAGGAACTCTATTTGTAAGGCCAAAAATTGAAAATAACCTGAATGTCGTTAATATTAGAGTAGATTGTTGTGTATTGATGTAAATGAATACGGGAATGAGAAGTAGTGGAGTATTCAGACTCTTTCCACATTTAATAATAATGCATATTAAAGTTAGAGGAGGAATCAGACATAAATTCATGTACATTTCCAAAGCAAGTGACCTAATCTTGAGTGTTAGAAGGCAACATGGTCAATTACCCTTGAGATGCTACAACCAAAATGTGCCTCAAGGAATCTTTTGAAATTCAGATTATATTCTCTTGATTTGGAGGTGATCTAGTAAATGTTTTCCTCTTGTCAGAATTCATTGAACTGTAACTTATGTTTTATATGCTTTGTGAATGTACCAATCTTCTCACAAAAATGTTCCCATAGGGCAAAAAGCATATGGGCAAAAATGAGGTTATTCACCTTGTGCATATGAAACAGGAGACTGATAGAACTTTGGAGAACATGAAAACCACACACATTCCTATATCTTTCCCTGTTTTTCTAAGACTTTTTCCAGCTTTTTCTGTGAGCATTGCAGAAGGCAAGGACAATGCTGAGCATCGAATCTGATTGTGAAGTTGTTCTTGTGGCATTCTGCCTAGAAACTGTCACCAGGGGACATCTGAACTAAGTTACAGTTAGACTTTGAAAAAGTGAAGGTTGCTGGGTAGAGAAGTGCTGTCATGAGTAAGAGTATCTGGTTGTGAGGCAGCCTGCCTACCTTCTGCAGTGGTGTGAGGGCTGGCGCAGCAGCACATGCTCTGGCAGCCTTCCTGGCTGTTCATTCCCAGTATGTACACCATTGTTTCCTCATCATCTCTCAGTGATGTCCTAAAATGATATACTTTGTGAATTATTTGGTTTAAGTATGAGCATGAAAGAAAAGCAACTCTGAAAGAATTGCTTCTGTATTCTGAAAGAACAGTTTTGTTTCATTTTCATTTTATCTTTTGCCCAGGCTCTACCCATACTCTTGGGTTCACATGGCTTTCTTTTCTAGGCATCTGGAGAAGGTGGGTTGTGAGTATGTACCATGGTTATCACTGCCTACTAACTGATACTCCTAGAAAAGCAAAGGTCTCCTAACCTGAACCATTGCATACTTTCTAGAAATGGCAAGCTATCTTTTGAAAATGCCTCTGTCTATAAGGACAACAGTGCTCCGTCAAGTGGGCTTGCCTCTGTATAATACCTCTCACGGCTACCATGAGGAGGAGGTGAAGAAAACACTCCAGCAGTTTCCTGGTGGGTCCGTCGATCTTCAAAAAGATGACAGTGGCATTGGCATCCTTACTCTGAACAACCCCAGTAAGATGAACGCCTTCTCAGGTAGGCGAGATCTTTCTTTTCCTAGATAAAGAATGACACTGAATCTCACCTGCTGTCTCGTGGATTTAGTCCGTGCCCTGGTGACAGAATCCTGGCCAGTCTTGGCAGTGTTCACAGAATTCACACCAAACAAGTACTCTGTAATGTGAACCGGAAAGACTTTTACTAATTAGTACTATTTTAATGCTTTTAAAAAATTCATGAATTTGGATGTTGATAAAAAGGATGCACTTAAATCGATCTTAACTGTGTTTGCCTTGAAATTTATTCACAGCATAAGAATTTTGTTTTCAGCTAATGCTATTTGGAAACAAACTGCAACAGATTTGAGCAGAGGCTCAAATTTGAATCATGCTACCATTTTACACAAGAGCTATGAGTAGCTTTCCAACCCTCACCCTTCATACCTGAAGCAATGCTGATAATTTCTACTTGCCAGTTATATGGCAAGGGTACATTATTTTCTTTGGTAACATTTGAAATGCTGGACTCAGGTATCACAGTAAATTTTGGGTGTCTAACTTAAGTGTACTGCTACCTACAGACATAATTCATTAAACTGTTAACTTTGTAAATTGCCAGAAGTATTTATATCAAAGACAATTTTTCTTCTTAATCAGATTTCAGAGATATTTCTCTATACGAGTGCTGAGCAATAAAATTATAATGTGAGACACAAATGTGATCCACACATGTAATTTTAGATATTCTAGTGGCCACCATTTAAAAAGAAGAAACAGTTAAAATTGATTTTAATAGTGCATTTTATTTAACACAGCACATCCAAAATATTACTCAAGAAGTGACTGCTGTAAACTATTATAAATGAGATTTTTTTCATTTTATTTTCATACTAAGTCTTGAAACCTGTTATTAAGCTCATTGCACATCTGCATGTTAGGCACCCTTCAGTTGCTCAGTAGCTGCATCTGATTAATGGCTACTTTAGTAGACAAGGTTGCCCATATCTTTGATTAGTTTAGGGAATAAACTCCAATTTTACCATTATCCCCGATAAAATAAATTTCAAAAGGTAAGAGTGGGAAGACTATCCTAGACGCTTAAATTAGATCATTGTAATTTACTACTGAATAGTTACTAATAATACTTTTTTCTTTTTGGTACCAGGAACCAAACTCAGGACCTCTGCTTGCCAGGCAGGCACTGTGCTGCTGAGCTGTGTCCCCAGCCAAGAAATAACCTTTTATTCAAATGAAAACCAATAGTAACCTAAAACTAGTAAAAACAGAATTGCTGGGCTGTGGGTAAACACACTTGGTTAGATTGAGTGGGGACAAGAGGAATGAGCCCCAAAACTCTTATTTAAAGAATACCCCATCAGATACTCTGTAAGGTTTCCTCCAACTGTCAAGGTTGACTGTACAAATTGAAAAAATGAGTTTAAGATTAACTACTAGTACAGACTTTCTAGTGCCCAAACCCACCTTTACTTTTTAGAAACTGAAATATACATAATTAAAGGTCCATATTTCTCTAAATGTATGAGTCTTTTGGTTTCCCTGCTAAACTGAAAATTGCTTCAGAACAAGATCTATATTTCTGCTGGGCGTGGTAGCTCACACCTGTAATCCCATTCCTCCGGAGACTTGACGCAGGAGGATCATTGCAAATTCCAGACCAGCCTAGGCTACAAAGTGAGCTCGAGGCCAGCCTGAACTGCATAGAGAGACCCTGTCTCAAAAAGACAAAAAAGGGCTGGGGATTTAGTTCAGCGGCATAAGTGCCTGCTTTGCAAGCGCATGGTCGTGAGTTCAATCCCTGGTACCGATAAAAAGGAAAAAAAAAAAAAAAAAGAAAAGACCTATATTTCTAAATTATATAAGACATTTTTGGAGAAGTTTTAAGACATTTTGATTACAGTCCTAATTAGCAATTGGAAAGGTTAACTGGCTGTATTAGTCATTGTCCAGCCAATGACCATTTATTGTAGAACCGTATACCTACTGGCTATTTTTAAAAGGCAAAGAAAATAAAAGTTCTTGACTTTGTGGGATTCGTTTTCCAACATTTAGTTTACATAGTTTAATTAGGCATGAGTGAGTTTTAGAAACTAACACTGCAAATTTCAATCCCACCTATGCTTTTTATATTGGCTTCTGAAGCATTTCCTAACAGTGGAAAATAAACCACATTGAAAATATGAACCGTGGGAACTTAGAAGAGAGTAGTATATCTAAGATATACTGACTGCAATTTAAAAACCATAGTCCCTACTGTTCCTGTTTTAAATTTGTCTGTTTATAAAGAAGCTTGAATAGAATTTGAGGTGATCTCAAGGTAACAATCTGATCTATAAATTGTAGACTTACTAGTAGTCTGATGAATCACTTCTGTAATGGCCTTTGGGCTTGTTAGAGCCACTTGAGATCTTGGAACAGGGTGTTTACTGCGCCTTTTGTGAACTGACACCTTGTCATTGTACTTCCAGTGCGAACAAGCTAGGAATGTCACTTTATTCTGTGCACTATGTTGTAAGATCCCATAAGCATTATAAGATCCATAAAGTTAGTAGTTGAACAAATTCATGTTGACTGAGACATCGAGTGTATCGTACTATAAAGTTTATTTGTGTTTTTTTTTACCCTAAGAAATAATTTTTCCTTATCACCATATCCCATGTGGTCCAGTCCAGTTTCCCTACCCCTAAGATATGTAGGATATGTGTAGTGCATTTTTATTTTTCTGTGTAAGCATAAATTTATGTGCATCTTTAAGCCAAGTAGAGAAATGCAGACACTGACAAGCTTAAACTTTTAAAGCAGGGACTGTCATAGGTTCCTCTTGTGTACCCCATTGGGCCAGCACAGCAGGCATTTTTCTGAAAAGCGTTAGTAACTATTTGTAAAAGACTGAGACTTGACTGACTACAGTGTCTGTGTGATTTCTGCTTTTCAATCTCAGACTTTTTTGAGTTTGTGATTTTGCCCTTTGTTCCCTGGTAGGTGTCATGATGCTACAACTTTTGGAAAAAGTGATTGAACTGGAAAATTGGACAGCAGGGAAAGGAGTCATTGTCCGTGGAGCCAAAAACACTTTCTCTTCAGGGTCTGACCTGAATGCCGTGAAAGCACTGGCCACTCCAGAGGTGAGGCCTTGTGGGTTACACTGCCTTAAGGTGCGCAGGCCAAGCCGGAGTCTGGGCTACAGGGTTTCTGTTCTGCCTATGTGTTTATTAGCCTGACTGAATCTTTGGCCTCCGAAGCAGCAGGGCTGTGGTCCTTGGTGTCTGGAGGAAGTGTAAAGAACCTTAAGGGGAAGGATGTAGGGGAACAAATGATGCTTTAGGCCTGTGCCGTAGGCCGCCTGTGAGGATCACTGCTGTGAGTGCTCGGACACAGCTCCTCCTCGGCTTAGCAGTGCTCTCTCAGCTGGGTTGCTGCTTTTGCAGAATGGGATTCATTCTCTTTCTCTCTCTCTCTCTCTCTCTCTCTCTCTCTCTCTCTCTCTCTCTCTCTGTCTCTCTCTCCCCCCTCCCTCTCCCTCTCTGTCTCTGTCTCATGCTGTGAGTGTTGATCCTGTTAGTTCTCCTCAGCTCCCACTGTCTCTTCTCTGTGTCTGTTAAATTTTTTAAAATAAATTTTTAAATTTTCGAGTAGTGTTGTTTGGATTTACAAGAAAACTACACCCATAGCAGAGAGCTCCATATACCTACCCTACACCCAGTGCTGTGTATTACTGTGCTGCCTTAGATCTGTCACAGGTGATGAACTGGCAATGATGCTTTACTGTGGCTGAGAGAAGGATTTACTTCACAGCTAGATGAGGAGGAAGAGGAAGACACTCTCCCATGCATGTGGTGTTAGGAAGTGTGGGCTGTTCTGGATAATTAGATGTCTAGTTTCATATTCTAAATAGAGACAGTGTAGAATTGTGAACACTAAGGAAATTCATATTTATTAAACATACTTAATAATTGGTCATCACTGTATGTTAATATTCATGATCGTATCTGAGAGTGTTGAAAGGCCAATAAAATCAGAGCATTACTGCACTGAAATACATAGTCCTGTGTACAGAGGGTACAGTTATCTAAAGGTGACTTTTAAATTAGCATGAAGCAGAAAGGGTGCGGTGCATGCATGCAGAGCCCACAAGCCAGGCTTCATGCAGACTACAGTTGATGGTACCTGGGCGTGAATCATTGATGGCCTTGGAGTCAGGGGACCCAGCCCCCCTCAGCCATCCCTCCCCGCCATACTTTCCGTGCTCCCCACTGTCACCTCCCTGCAGGTTTTCTCTCCGGAGGCTCCTCTTTACTCCACACATGGACTCTAGTCACAGATGCCTCACCGGCCTCTGCTATTGGGAGAATTTGCTTTGTTTTCAGAAGGCTGCTGTACTTGGTCTGCATGATGATTTTAGTAATTTGCTTACATTCCCCTCCAGCTGTGGCAAAATGCTTAAAATTGATGATTACATGGATTTTTAAAAAAATAATTATGTCAGTGTTTTTGCCACTGTGATTTTTTAGATATTTGAAAATGCTTATTAATGATAGTTAGCAAAGATCAACAAGACAGAGCCTAACACAGTGAGAGCCCTGTGTGCCAGAGCAGCATCTGCAGTGCTCCACGTCCTGTGGTGGTCGCTTGGCTTTCACTGCAGGTTTATTTCTTTGCAACTGGTCTCCTAAGCAGTTGGTTTCTTTCTGGTGTTTTTAGTCCTGATGAGCAAGAACAGAACTGCACCTGCTTCTGTGACACAATTCTTGGTTGAGAAGGCAGAGTCCAGGAGGTGACTAGCAAAACTCAGGATTCACCCTGAAAATTTACAGTGAGTCGAAAAGAATGAAATGTTTAAAAATGTGATTAATAATGCAATTATAAGATTTGGATTTCAGCTGGAAGTGGTGGTGCATGTGAGTAATCCCAGCACTCAGGAGGCTGAAGCAAGAGGACAGTTGCAAGTTCAAGACCAGCCTGAAAGAAAGAAAGAAAGAAAGAAAGAAAGAAAGAAAGAAAGAAAGAAAGAAAAATTGGATTTGATGCCACAGGTGTTCTGTATGCCGTAATAGTTCTCCTTTTAGAGGGAGGAAGCAGAGTCCACTTACAGGCTTTCGGATACAGGGAGATGAAAACTGCTGATTTCCAGTGAATGGGCATGAGGCCTCAGGAACAGTCTGGCCGGTTAGACACCTTCATGAGTCTTAATCTAGCTTCAGGACAATACCCTCCTTTGTCCCTTGACCTCCTATCTCCTCCATTCCCCTCTTGTGGGCACATTTATATCTTTCTTTTTTTTTCTCCTGTTTTTTGAGACAAGGTTTTACTGTGCATTTCAGGCTTGCCCTGAACTCACTATGTAGCCCTGGCTGGCCTGGAACTCGAAGTGATCCTCCCATCTTAGCCGCCTGAGTGCTGGGATTACAGGCATGCACCACCTATAATTGGCCTATAATTGTATCTTTCTAATTTAAATTTAAATCAGCAGTCATTCCTGACTCTATGAATTCAGAGCCAGTGCTGCTTACATGTTCTCCTTCATGCTGCTAGTAAGCGATAACACTGCCATTTGCACTCAGCCTCTTTCTGGGCAGCTGGCTTTACTGAGCTGAGTTGGAGGTGCTGGCAGGGTGTGAAAATTGAGAAAGGTTTTAGTGCTTCATAGGAAAGGCTCAGTCGAAGGGGAACAGTGGGGGACACCTGCAAGGAAGTGCCTCATCCAGCACAGCTGTGGAAATTCTTGGGGCGAAGTGTGGTAGAGGATAAAGGGAAGAGTCAAGGAGCGGAAAGCTGAGGTCAGGTGGTGCCCTCTGTCTAGATGGGAGTAAAGGAACTGCTCATGGACCACAGCACATTTATTTATAGTTTGGCAGGTGGATGTCATGTGGCACCCCCTGCCTACCAGCCTGTGTGCTTGGCTTGCCTTGGGTGTCTGGTGTACTTTGGACTTGTTCATGAGGTTCACCTTGGCACACTGTGTGGGTGATCAATCTCCAGCTTCATCCGCTCCCTGCAGGGAAGGAGCTGTGCTTAGGACAATGTGAAGCATGGATTGGATTGTTAACAGTAAATGCATTAGGGGACTTGCTAAATAAGAGAGAAGCCAAGGAAGAAACAAAGGAGAGCTAAATAAGAGAATCAGGGGTTTAAAGTTGCATTACAAACAAAGGTAGAGGATCAGAACGAAGAAACTGTCAAAGAAAGGCACTGCCTGTTAGAGCGAGCAAGAACAAGATGGGGAAAATAGAGAAATGGTTTAATTTGCAAGCTTAATATTAGAAATGTTCGCGGGCAATTGATTTAATTTTCAAGCTTAATATTAGAAATGTTTGAGGGAAATCTTTTGGAAGAAGGCTGAAGGCCAAATTACACGAGTTTCAGAAAACCTGAGTTGAAAAGAGTAGGCAATGTGTTTGGGTCCCTTTTAAGAAGAAATGCATTCATTTGTAGAGATGCATAGATCAGGAAGTACAGAAATTCAAAGCTTGTTACAACACACCTTCTCTCCTTCTGCTTTCCTTCCTTCTTGCGTGTGTCTGTCTGTGTGGCAATAATGAGTGAGTACCACTCAGCACCCTTCTCCCCACTATTTCTCCAGTGCAGCTCCACTCTATCCTCACCCTGCAGTTTGACTGTCCTGCTTGCGTCTCTGCTGCACCTCATGCCTAGCTGAGCTCAGGGAGCCCTCAGGTATCCAAGCCAAGTCCAATGCAGTATCCTTTGTGTTTCACACAGCATCGCACACTTGTAAATGAACTTGTAAAACTAGACACGTGTTTTTGTCTTACTTTCTGAAGTCTCAAATTAAAAATGTTATTTTGTACAGGTGCATTATATCTTTGTATTAATGCCTATTTTTATTTAAAGGATGGAATGGCTTTATGTATGTTCATGCAGAACACCTTAACAAGATTTACAAGGTAATGCATCTTTTTAAAAGAGGTATAATTTCTAAAAGACCAAAAATAGTTCTGTATCACTTTATTATTTGCACTAACTAGAAAATCACAGTTGATTTTTAAATTACATATATATTCTGATATTGCGCTATTTGATTTGCTGTAGAGAACAATCATTTAATTGAATTTTAGCAAAGGATGCACAAGTATTTCATAAACACTAGAAGGGCGAGAGGAAAAGAATTTCCCCAAAGAGTTCCTGGGACTGTCTTCGGGGGCAGTCACCAGGCAGTCAGATACTTTGAAGTCACACGTTAGAGCAGGATAATGACACCAACCAGGAAGTGCTGGATACAATGACTTCGTATTGAGAATTCTGGGACCATGTGTTATAGTGGGCTATGTCCAGAGGTGGTGGGAAACCAGCAGTGGATTGAAGAGGCTCTTACAGTTTTTTGAGCAAGGTGGATTTACTTTGCATCGAGATAAGAAAAAAATGGGAAAATTTTTTCTTTGCAATTCCAGGATTTCAAACTGCTGCAGATTTTGGTTAGTTTCTAATTTCTTATTCTGAATGTAGACACTCTTACAATTATAAGAACTAAGGAAATTTAGATGACTGTATTTTGGGACTTATCATATCTGAGAGTCTAGGAAGAGCAGTAGAATCATAACATTTCAGTGTAAAATACTTTTTTTGTTATTCTAGTATATGTTCATTTGCGTCCTCTATTAAGGCTTAACTTCTTAGATAAATCTGAGCAGCTATTCTGTTTTTTGTTTGCTTATTTAATTTTGTGTGTCACTAGAGAGTGAATCTGGAGATACTATACCACTGAGCTACATCTCCAGCCTCTATATTTTTAAGTGCACCCTTGGGATCCCGGCTCTTCAGGGGCTGAGGCAAGAGGATCCCACATTATTTTTTAGATTGTCCCTTCTATATGCAGCCAGTGTGTATTAAATATTCATCTGTATTAGACTTGCAACTTTATATTTGGATTCGAATGTACAGAAGCATCCTTTTAAAACAATGTAGATTTACCCTCTATTATTTGCATATGCTCACAAATTGGGATGCTCTATTCATAGGACCCTTCAATTCATAGCTTTGGGGTTCTGCCTTTAGGACCACATCTTCCTTTGGGTCTATCCTTAATTTTCCTACCCTTAGCCAAAGATGAATAAAAACAGATGAAGACAATATTACATTCAGTTCTTCTGGATTGTTACTTGCTGAGAGGCTCTAAGATTTATGTTATTTAAAAGCATGTGTCTTGGGAATGAAGTTTGAATATTCCTTCAGTGTAAACATTGCTGGTCTGGTGGTGGTGACACCTGTACCCCAAGCAGTATGTGAGGCAGAGGCAGTATTGCACCTTCAGGCCCAGCCTAGCAACTTTGTGATGTGCCAAGACTCTGTCTCAGAATAAAACACAACAAGAAATGCAGAGGCGTAGCTCACAAGGAAGGCCTTGGGGTCGATTTTCAGTACGAAGAAAAAAAGCAATAAAACCTCACTCAAACTTACATGGCATTTAGTATGAATTAGTGTATTTTTAGTACTGTATTGTTTTTCAGCTTAGGGTTTTTCACAGCTTCAGGCTCCACTATTTGATACATGTTACTTAGGAAGACTGAGCAGTAGTTGTATTTGCACTGCAATTCAAGACTTTCAAAATTACATTTGTAAATCAGTATTGAAGCCAAAACTGTTAACATCCCTTTCCTTCCACACACAGGCTTCCTTTAATAAGCGTGGCCCTGGTGCAGGGCCGAGCCCTGGGTGGAGGCGCAGAGTTGACCACAGCCTGTGACTTCAGGTGGGATAAGAGTCCTTGTGTCTCCCGGGAATAGATTGCTGTTTGCTCAGATTTCTTTTTGTGCCAGGATGTTATGTTGCTGTTTTATATATTCCTAAACAGAATAAATAGTGAGCGAGTGTTTTCTCTTGGTCATTTGTTAAAATAGATCATTTACAGTTAGGGTAACAACTGTGGCTCTAAGCATCCACTGAAGAAAAGATTGAGAACACAGTGACCTGGAGTAACTCAAGTCCACATGAGCAGAGCTCTTGGCGAGGAAAATTAAGGAAATGTATGGAACTTGAAAATACAGAAGGATTATACCGAAGGTGCACATTGGGGAAGAAAATAGAATGGAGAAAAAGAGGCTGCTGTACTGCCCTTTGGCCAAGAGAAGAGCCTTCCTGAGTTTGTTTCATATCTCCCTCTGTGTGAGTGATAGCTACTTCCTTGAGCTTTAGGGCAGATTTAGGACATAAAGTTAGATGGCTGTGGTTGCGCACCGCTCTGCTCCCTGCACTGGGGAGCCTGAGGCAGGAGGATTGCTGTCAGTTAATTAGAGGTCAGGCTGAGCTGCAAAGGGAATTACAAATGAAAGAGAACACACAAACAAATCCAGTGAGAGAAGTTCTTTGGGACCAGCAGCTCTTTGGTCTCTAAAATTACTTTCCCTATTTGAAGCTGAGCCACATAGGAATGAAAGTGTCTAAAATCTAAAGTTATTCCTACCCTTGAGACTTCTTTGGCATTAGCATTTTGGAGAACTCCAGTGCCCCACCTCACAGCCTTCAGCCTTTGGGAGGCAGAAGGGGTGAGGCCCCAGGATGGGAGGAAGCAGCTGCACAGGACAAGGCAGACTCCAGCACTGTTGGTCATGTTCTGCTCTGAGCAGTAACTGTTTTATTTCCTTGCTGTTTCCCCAATGTATTATTAGATAAGTTTCAGTGATACTGTGGATACATACACTATGAATTGGCACAGTGCTTAACTTGAAATACATAGCAGTATCGACTTGCTAATATTACTTTCTGTCTTAAAATGAGTTTACACTATGCTGTTTTACAGAAATGCCATGACAGCAGCATTCTGCTGTACTTTGTTTGCTGTTTTCTTTTCATTCACAATCTTTTTAAAATTTTTATTTCATTAGTATGTTTGCAGTACACATTAACAGGCATCATCCTTTAATAAAATTAGAGAAAAGATTCTGTAAAAACCATAGATTCTCTTTTCATAATTTATGAATCAAGCTTCATTTTATCAGTTAAAATATGTCCCTTTGTACCCTCAGAGATTTGAACATAGTTCTGGTGCATAAGACAGTTTCCCAAGTTCCTGGCCTCTTTGAAAGGTAGTAATTCCTGGTTGAGCAGGTAGATGCAGGAGTAGGAGGAAGGTGGGCGCTTTGTATGGCAGCGCCCTCTGCTGTCTGCAGGCTGGATTCCAGCAGGATGCTGCTGTCTCCTGTTTGTGAGGCTAGGTAGGAAATGCTGTGTGTGAAAGGGTGAAATACTTTACTGTCTTTACTCTGAAATGCAGTATGTGATAAAGATTTTGAAAGAATACAAAAGTGTGCATTATTACACCTTTAAAATCCTCTACATACAAGTAAAGGCAAATTAAGATTTTATGGGTGTTTTTTGGAGAAAGAGATAACCCTTCAACATAGTCTGGGGTCCACCTTCACGTGTTCATTAGGCTTCTGTGCTATCTTTTGTGTCCACCCCTGGGATTTCTCCTGTAGTGGCAGAGCTTTCTAGCCGGATTTACCGGCAGCATTCAACAGGGAAGAAAACTGGGCCATAAGAGGCCTCAGAAAAATCATGTCTCCTAGGCTGATCTCACAGGCATAGAAGTGGAGGAGGTTTGAGGCAAAGAACTAGAAAACCAAATGGGTAAAATGCTTAAAGATCCTCTCAGACTAAGAGCCAATGGTTATGTGCTGTGTTCAGAGATTACTTGTTTTTTCTTTCATGTCATTTTATTTGAAATAATTTCGTTCATTTAGATTTTGATTTATGCTATCCATATTAATTTAATTTTATTTTTAATATGTAGAATGTTGTAATAAATAATTTTGTGTGTACTTTTGTTGTGACTAATGGTATTTCATATGAGTAAATTCTAGAAGTGAAGATTACCAAGTTAAAGTTAACAAATATTTGTGGCTGCCAACTTCTCCTTCACAGGAAGTGGGTAACAGACCTGTCTTTATTCCCTCTGTCCTGTTTCACGTAGACTTGTCAACACAGCTTACTCTTATACTTGTCAGTTTTTGCCTGTCTGATGGGTGAATAGTATTTTAGCAGTTTCAGTGAGCATTTCCCTAGAGTAAAATAGTTGTTTTCCTGTGTCTAAGGATCACTTTATCAATCCTTTTATGAACTACCTATTCATATTTTGCTTATTTCTCAATAGAATACTTGACCTTTTATACTCACTTTTTATAAAGTTTTTTCATATGTTGTGGACATTTGTTATTATCTGTGATATACTTTGTAAATATTTGCCTAATTTGCTACATGTCTTTTTGAGTCTATTTGTATGGTGTTGTTTTCTCAAAGCAAGCTATTTTAGAGAATATACTGTCAGTCTTTTTTATTACTGACTTCGGATTTTGAGTGGCAAAAAGGCTTGCCCTACCTGTAAGTTAGAAAGATTTCATGGTTTGATTGGTTTTTAGTCAATAGTTTCGTGTTTTACTATACCTATCTAAACCATTTGAGCTTACTTTTATTATGTTACAACTAATGGATCACATCTCTTTTTCCAGGTAGCCATTTTCCAAATTTTCGTTTATGTTCTAAGGATATGAAATAGCACCTCTTACATATTAGCATATTTGACTTGTAGTTAGAGCTGTCGATAGGTTCCATAATCTGTTCCATCATTCCCAGTTTTTCTGTATCATTAATGCTGTGATAATTACTTGTGCCTAAGACCTTATCCACTCAAGGTTATTTGCTGAAAATAAGTCCTGTAAGTAGCTCTTTCAAAAATAAATAAATAAATAAAAACCTTTGTATACCATAGCTTTCCGAATATCCAGCATACTAAATAGTCCTTACAGAAGTCTGCCAGTTCTAGCTTGGGAGTATTCCTACCAAATTTAAAGTCTGATAAACCACATGCAAATATGAACACTTCCAGTAGTCCTTCAATTCTTCAAGGGCTTGGTTCTAGGACTTCTTCTGGATGATAAAAATCTATAATTGTTCCAAGACCCTTATTTGAAATCACACAGTATTTACACACAGCTTTCCACTATATTTTGAATCAGCTCTAAATTATGTATTATACTAATATAACGTAAATGCTATATAGTTGTTATACTGTACTGTTTAGAGAATAAAGAGGAGATAAAAATATAAAGAACCTTTGAAATACATTGTCAAACTCTCCTCCAGGAAAGATTATATCAGTTTATCCTACCAGCAGAAGATCAGTATCTGAGAACATCCTTTCTTACAATGAACACAGACTTTCAAAAAATATTTTCTAATTTTGATAATACTTATTTCAATTTAATTTACATTTTTAGGTTTTAAAGCATATATATGTTCATTGATCTGTTTATGTTTGCCTGTAAGTTGTCTGCATTTCCCTCTTCCATTTGTTTTCTTTGGGAGTGTTGAGCTGTCTTTGGGATAGGTGAAATACACATTTTAATTCCACCATGTCCCTAATGAAATAAAGTTCTCAACCTGCAGTTCAGAGCATACCTATTTAATTTGCTTCTAATCTTCAACATGTTTTCTTGAATATAAATAACCTTTAGCCAGGTGTTAGCATTTCCAGTGACTGCTTTTCCAGGTCTGTCACAAAGAAAGGAGGCTATAAACATGCATATTCCAGGAGAACCTGCTATATGTAGCCCTTTTCTTAAAATATTTGTTTCACAAATAAAATGCAAAATATACATATAATATACCTGTACATATATAAATAGATTTGTACATATATGCACACAGACACACACACTCAAAAGACCTAATTCCAGGTGGAAGTGCCGGGACTTTGAATATGACATGCATACTCCAGTAAGCAGTCACACGGCCCTCATTGCTCTGTTTTGTAGTTACCACAGCATTACTTGGAAATTCCTGTGTATAATATCACAAAAATCTGTCTCTGCTCATGCTAGGGTTACTGTCTAGATTAAAATCATACTTGACTGTCACAAAGCATTTTCTAGCCATTCCCCACCCTTACTACTATGACTGCACACAAATAAGCAATTTCTCTTCACCCATATCCCTTCTTACTGAAACTGTTGTGCATAAAGTGCAGGAGCCTCAAGAGGCGGTCACCTGAGAGTTAAGAATCAGGGGTGAGATAGGGAAAGCCCTTGGGTTCTTTCCTTGCATTTTTCATAATTTGTCTTACAAGGTGATGGCAGGCAGAAACAAAAGACAGTGAAAAGGAAATACATGTGCAAGCAAGCATTTATGTTCAAAGTGTGATACTAAAATGTGGTTTGTGATTGGAGATGCTGCCAGTTATGTAACGTTCTGTACCAGTGGTGGCAAACCTATGGCATGTTTGTTGCTGTGGTGTTGGTTTTTAGTTTGGGGTTTTAAAAAAATTTTTTGTAATTTTTATTTTAAAGAGAATAAAATCAAACAATAAATCAGAATGAAGCCAATCAAAACAAAGCCGTTTGACACAGGATTTCAAAACAAGATAATAACAAATTAACAGTGGTCACCATAATGCCTCTTGGTGTCTTCAAAGTCAGGCACAGCTCAGTGGCTCAAGTGCTTACCTGGTAAGCACACGGTCATGAGTTCCATCCCTTGTACCGCCCCCCTCCCAAAATTCTAAAAAGTAGCCGCCCATGCTATAAGACATAGTAAAATGAAGCAAAACAGAACAGAATATTACCAATAAAAACAATGAAAGCAATAAAGACTTCAAAACAATAGTAAATCCAAAATGGCTACCATGATGTATCTTGTTATCTTTGAAATAGTTGCCCATGCCATCGGACCTAATAAAATCAAGCAAGACAAAACAGAATAAAGTCCCACCAAATAAAACAGTGAGAATGATACAGGACTTCAAAACAAGGTAATTGGGACGTAACAATGTCTGCCACCTTCAGAAGATTCCCCCTATAAAAGCTGTAGATGATCTTTTGAGTAAGATGATCACAGACTACTTGCTTTTTATGCTTGCAAAGTCAGTGAAACACTAAACACTACAAGCATTAAGTTGTATTTTATGTCATTAGGTATGGTCACAGCCTGTGTTTCTCCAGATGAGCTGCTTGCTTAAGTGGGAGTGGAGGAAAGGGAACATTGGCTCTTCTTTTTTTTTTTTACACTTTTTTTTTTTCTTTTCATTGGTACCAGGGATCGAACTCACGACTGCCTGCTTGCAAGGCAGATGCTTATGCTGCTGAGCTAAATCCCCAGCCCCTAACATTGACTCTTCTTGTCTTCAGCCTGTACACCGGAAGGGGCTGGCATGTGGTTCTCCTCCTGATTGTCCATGTAAGACACCAACTCACAGGAAGGACTTTGCTTCTTGTTCTCCCCTGCAGTGCGCAAATGGCACCAGCTCACAGGAAAGGGCTGGTGTCTAGTTCTCCTGGCGGGCTGTACATGGGGCCTGCTCCCGTTGGTTTTTGCTTTTTAACAAGAAATGATAGTGTCATTTTCTTGAACTAAAACCTCAGTATTCAGGTTTAATTGATTTATTGGCACTCTGTGATACGAGTTTTGGGTTGCAGTTTGGCACCCAGTAATTTTATGACAGAAGTACTGTTATTTAATATACAAGCAAACTGAGGCCAAGATACTACGAAACTGCCCAAGATCTGTAACTGAGCCTTGCTCTGTCCTTTCGCTGTGCTGTATCACGTGGGGTGTGGGATGCAGGCAGGCAGTGGGCTAGTGGCCTTGCTGGGGTCTCAAGCTGCCTGCTGGCCCCAGAGTCCATGCACACTGCTTCACTGCAAAGTTCTACGTTCAGTATGCGCTTCCATTCTTCCTCACAGTACTCTCGGGAACTTTCCTCAATAGGGAGTATTTTTAGAAGCTATTTTTATATCACGTTTGAAGTGTTTTATATCTTTTACTAAAATTTTAAGTTAGTAAAATTTGGTGTTTAAATTGTTCTTATGCACTTGCGAATGCTGAAGTATTGGGCTAACCCATCAGAAATAGTAGCTCCTTGAACAGGCAGGCTTTCCTAGGCATCCATGCCTGGCGTGCAGCCTGTTCCAGGTACCCTGGCTCTTGTGGAACAGTGTCCCATCCACACAGCGACGGGATGGGTCTACATGTGATTCACTGCATTGCTCCTCCTGCAAAATGCCAGAGGAAATTTTAAACACAACCTGTGATGATCGCACAGTCTAAAAAAGCTCAAAGTGCTTCACTTGCCAAAATAAGAGTTTCCCAGGAGTCTCCAGGTCCTATGAATGAAGCCATTTCTAATTTTGGATGTATCTTGTATCTTGTTGACATGTGTTGACAATATGATTATATTTTTTCAACATTTTATATTTTATCTTTAAATTTTACTACTTAGGTTAATAAAGTTCTAAAAAAGGACCCCGCCCAGTGGTCCGTATACCTCTGATTGGTTAAACATCTTGTGTCCGTCACCAGTGAATTTTTTGTTGCACGTATTTACTGTATGCATTTGTATCAGTACAGGGGCACACTCTAGGCACATGGTTCATAAAGGATGGCTGTCATTTTGATGACATCATGGATTTTTTAAAAAAATTACTTCAAGGTTTTTTGTTTTAAAATAGTACTCAAAGGCATACTCTTAGGGGTTGGGGAGAACATGATATAAAAATTACGATTCTTTAGAAGCAAAGAACTGCAAACAGATGTGCACTTACATTTCAGTAATTTTTGTTGTGGTCGTCTATGTAATACATCTAGGACACTGTCCATTGTTTATGTTCATCTGATTCTAAATTTTTTTTTTTTTTTTTTTTTTTTTTTGCTTTTGTAGGCATAGCTCTGAGCCAATGTGAGTGGCAATCCCAGGATTTGTGAAGTGACATGTTTTATTCTGTGAAAAACCTTACAGGACTGAGTTCAATATTAATGCTATTCCTATATCTAATGCTATCAGACATTTCTATAATTTTATTTCCTTCTTAGTTTTGACGGTTTCCTGTTTTGTTAGAAGACGGCAATACTCAGAATTTGGGGATAGTGTCAGAGTCTTATTAGACTTGTTCTTTCTTCCTATTTAAACTTTTTTATTGACACTTCATAGCTATTGCTGGAAGCAATTGTTAATGGTTATGGCACATTTCCTTTTGTAGATAGTGATAGTTATGAAGACAAGTTTTCCAAGTGGGTTAATAAATAGACTTTTGTGTGAATTCTCTATTGGAGAGTTCTCTTGTTTAAAGAGCCAAAGACCTGGGCCAGGGATTTAGCTCAGGGACATAAGTGCCTGCCTGGCAAGTGTGAAGTCCCCGGGAACAAAAAAAAAAAAAAAAAAAAAAAAAAAAGAGCCAAAGACCCGAGCTTGTTCTTGGTGCTAAGAGAAGTAAGTTGCCTGCAGGTAAATACGTAACACTTTGGAAAGGCAGACTAATGTCTTTTTTGTAATGAGTATTTTTGAAAGCACTAATTTTTCCTAAAATGTTAAGGTAGCCTAAATCAGGTTTTAACATAGTAAAAGTTCCTTGTTGAAGCACAGAATCAAAATAAAACTGACGCTGGTTCATTGGTCCATTCCTGTAATTGTAGACTAGAAGTAAGGTAGTAGAAGAGATAGTAAGTTCCAGACTGGGCTAGCCTGGCCAACTGAGATTCTGTCACAACCTGAAAAATAAAAAGGATTGGGGACATAGCTCAGTGGTAGAGTGGTAGAGAACCCCTAGGTTCAATCCCCAGTACTGAACAATGAATAAACAAATCAATAAAACAAATTCTTCCTAATACTACATAGGTTTAGTCATTAATACACAAATGTTTAACTGGTAAACTAACCATTTGCTTTAAGTCATTCTACTTTGCTTAATCACTGCATTCATAAAATTCGCACAGCTTGGAATAAAGGAGCCCATGCTTTAGACAGTCACAGCCATCAGTCTGACCTAAGCTATGACCAAAATTGTGGTGTCTCAGCTTCTGTTCTTGTTTAGCTAAATGCTTTGTAGGCCCTGGGTCAGAAGTGCAGAGTGACACCAAACTGCCTGGCTGTGCATCCCGCCTCTGTGGTAACTCTGTGGCTTTGAATGAGCTCCTTCTTTTGCCTCCACCAATGAGGATGCTATTAGTAGGCAATATATGGCAGCTCTGATGCTTAGGTACAAGTGCTGTTAAATGCTAAAGCCTTCATAGAGCAACCCTTATAAAATACCAGTTGGGAATCCTTTGCTTGAACTTTGAATAACTTCATGGAGAATTAAATTGGAATCTGTCACTAAGGCCTGTACATCGGCTTGATTGAACATCCCATTTCTTGCTTCATTTTCTCTGTTTCAGTGACACCGCTTGGTCCCCAAACAGTTCTCCTTTAAAGCCTTTGCACTTGGAATTGCCTCTTCCTGGAATGCTTTCTCCCGATTTTTTTGTTGTTCATACTTTTATGTAGCTGCTGAAATATTCAGAGGCCTTCTCCATTTTAATTGCATTCGTTTGTTAGTCCTGGTCCCATTTTACTGTTCAGTGTCTCTCCCCAAACTGGTATGTAAGTTTCAAGCCTAAGGATTTTAATTTGGTTCTTCCTGTAGCCTCAGCACCTAGAAAACTACCTAGTGTTGGCAGTGCTCAGTAAATAGTTGCTGTATGGACACTAGGCAAAAGACTGAAGACTATGAGGATCTTCATTTATGTATGTTTATGTATATACCTAATAATTAATGAGAAAGTTTGGAAATTTAGAAATATGAAGCCTAGGTTATTTGCCAAGTTAAGCATAAGCAAGCACAACAAACTTGTTTTCAAAGAGGTATTGAGTACCACATGGTACATTAATCCTCGATGGAACAGCTACATTTTTCTGTCCTTCACTTTTTAGTGTTATGTGTCACCTAAAAGGCTCAGTGGCTGTTTTCTAGATTATGGAAAGGTAATACTTCATTATTGTTCATATTTTATATGTTTCCTCTTTTCTTTTGCAGATTAATGACTCCGGAGAGTGAGATCAGATTTGTCCACAAGGAGATGGGAATAATCCCAAGCTGGGGTGGTGCCAGCCGGCTAATTGAAATCATAGGCAGTCAAGCAGCTCTCCAAGTGTTAGGTGGGGCCCTCAAACTGGATCCCACAAAAGCTTTAAGCATAGGAATGGCTGATGAGATCTTGCAGTCTTCAGATGAAACAAAATCTGTAGAAGAGGCCCAAGCATGGCTTGCACAATTTGTCAATGGGCCACCAGAAGTCATTAGAGCTTTGAAAAAATCTGTTTGTTCAGGCAAGGAGCTATATTTAGAGGACGCATTACAGAACGAAAGAGATCTTTTAGGAACATTATGGGGTGGAGCTGCACATTTACAGGCTATTGCTAGGAAAGGAAAATTTAATAAATTGTAAAAATGTGAGTGTACTACAAGTTCCAATTAGTAATATATATTGAAGTTAAATGAAAATATGAACAGCAGAATTAATCTGAAAACTACTATTAGTATTCAGATTTGTTTTGGGTTAGGGTTAGCTGAAGTTACTAGCCAACGTTTTCTTAATATTTGGGCAACACTTTATGTAAGTTATTCCTATCACTTCTTTTATAGCAATAATGGTTCTTAGCCTATGAACAAAGTATGCCTGTATTTTTTCTTTTTTTTGAGATGTAAGTGTGCTTATCAAAGATTAGTTTTCGCCAAATAAAGATTAGTTTCTAAAAGAAAAAAGTTCTTCTGACAGAAAACCGATTTTTGTTTTGCTTTTTCCCATAAAATTTTTCTTCTGAATTACATAATAATTAACAATCTAATAAACTTTTCATTTAAAGAACATGGGGCTAGATCACAGGACAAGGAAAGATAGTCATTTTTTTCTGTTCCACATGAGAAGAAAAAAAAGATCCACCCTGTTATACCTTTCAGATCTGGAGCCTTACTTGATCTTTTCAGTAACTAGATTAATGGTGTAAATTATTTACTAGTGATAACCATGATAGGGAATATCAACTGACTCTGCAAACTACCATTCACTTTCCTGGGAAATATTAAGCTGGAAACAGTACTGTTGATAGTTTTAAAACAGAAACTCTTGATTCATGAAGCAAGCATCCTACAACAAAAGTTACCACTTTCCTGAAAAACCTCAACTTTTATAAGTAATTTTACAATCCATTTACTAAAAATGTGTAATTCAGACTTTTATGATCATCCCAGTAATTCATTTCTTTAAAAATGTGTACTCCCCAGTGAAATCCCTATCCTAAGCCTTGCAACAAATGTCAAAGCAGTGAAGCTTTATCTTTGTTACTGTGGCATTCATTTCACATTTGAGAATCATACTAAAAATAGCCTAGATTCACTTTTATCAGTATTATTCTGCTTTCCGAACAGACTTTCACAAATTGTAGATTACCCTGTTAACCCCATACTTACTTCCTTATCCAAATATAAAAATGTCTCAAAATAAAAGTGAGTTTTCTGAGTGAATTCATGTCTATGAATTCCAAGTAAATCTGCCTTGTACCCAGAGTGCAAGGCCACTCATGAACACTGGAAAGAAAAATTTATAGTATGAACTACTTGATGAACATAAGACTCATAGGCTGTTCAAATTCATTTCCATATTTATTCCACACACACTGTTTGCAGATACTATTTCCAGAATTCTCTGAAGAAATCAAATTTCTGAGCAGGTGACTAAGCTGAGTACAGTTAATTCAGACCTTTACCTTTTAAATGACCTTTGGCCACAAGTATCAAAGTACTTCTATCACTCTTCCAGACTCAAACCAGACACATAGTTTTTGATAAACTCTAGTATTTATTAAATTATAATTTTTTAATCCAAATGAAAGGGGCAGACAAGAGGAAGTTCAGACTACAAGGGCTAGACAGCAAAGCTTATGGGAAGGAATGCCATGAAGTATTAAAAAGATTCTGAAACAAAAATTGTTTTGTTTACATTTCAGTTTCAATAACTTCACTATAAAATTCGCTGTCACTCACCTATTTTTAAACCCAATTCACATCTCCACATTACCTTAAGCTTCCTGCTCATGATGCCAACATCTCACAGGTCCCAAATTTCAGTAGCAGTTTTATGCCAATCCATGCAGAAAAATAATGCCAGAGTCGGGTGAAAACCATTAATGCACAGATAATATACACATACTGGCCAAAAGAACTAAAGGAAAATTGTTTTAGAAATTTAAAGAAAAAATGTCAAGAAAACTGGGTTATTACTAAACAGCTCTCAACTATTAACACCCAAGTTCCTTACATTAAATAGTTATTTCTCAACAGGGACATGTTAGACATTTCATTTCAGATTTATCCTTCCCAGACCCATTCCCACCCATCTCCCAAAATGCACTACTAGGGATGAGTAATGTTATGTGGGCAGAAATTTACAGATAACTGTTCATCCTTGGGCATGGAGCTGAAGACTTCTATTTAGACTTCTGTTACTGTGCACTGTCCATCAGGTTTTCTGGATCTGACAATGACACTCCCTGTTCCACCCGCTGCTACTGACCGGTCAGTTCCTGATCGATCAGCTACTCTCTGGTTTGCATTCGGGACAGAAAGTCTCTGCTGGGCCAAGGAGTGCTGTGCAGTAAGTACAGACACATCCTCACTATCACTACTGGCATCTGATTCGGTGTCTTCAATGGAGGTGTCTGCTGCCCTGCCTGAAGACAGGGATTCTCGGTCTCCTTCTCCTTCTCCCCGGTGACTTCTCTCATTTATGCTGTCTCCACTGAGTTGCAAATGAGCAATAGAGTCTTCCAGAGAAGTGCCAGCATCAGGGGATGGGGTGGCAGGGCTGGTAGGCTGCCCATCCACTGACGTCAGGGGCCTTGCAGCGGAGGACAGCGGAGGCTGGACGGAAGCTCCACTCTGAGCTGACATACTGTCCGCACCATCGGCAGAGCTCTCTCTTGCTAAGTTTACAGAATTTGCATCACAGTCTAGCCTAAGTCCTGCCACTCCCTTCTTTGGTATATCTATTATATCCCGCTTAATCTTCCTGCGACGTCCGTGTTCATTTCTCCTATATTGAACCATATTTTCAAGATCAGCAACATACAGAAAGCCAGCAATTAACATCTCCGTGTTCTTTTTACCTTTGGAAAAAGCATCTTCTAGCTCTCTACTGGTACGCTCATCATACTGCCACCATCCGTTTCTTCCTTCATAATACCATGCATATTCTCCATTCCCTCTGCTTGCTGCCTTGAGTTCTTCTGGTGACAACAAGGTTGGTTTGTCAAGGAAATCTTCAGGAATTTCTTGTCGACAAAGGGCACATCGCTTTCCAAGCCATGAAGCTCCCTTCACACACAGATAGCAGAAAACATGCTTACAGGGCAGACTGACTGGATGAACGCAGGTCTGCAGACAAATGGCGCATTCCGGAACTGTCAGAGAAGGTGCAGCATTAGAACAGGACTCATTGGCCTTCCTGTTCGTAGGAAGCATGTTTATTGAGTGATCGATTTCGCCACAGCCAGCCATCCTAGGTGAGAAAAAAAGACAATCAATCTATACAGAAAATCTTTTTGATTCTTGTCTCTACTCTTTGTTTGTAGGAAGCAATCAAGCACACAAACACTGAACCAAAAAGCTATTTATACCATTTCAACTCAAACAGAATTGATCAAAGAACTAAACGAATTCAAACATTCAAAATGTTCAATCCGTTCTAGACAGACTTTACAATCAGCTAGAAAGACAAATGGAAAACAGTTACTCAGATTACAGTTATGGCCAACACTAATTGTGTAGCCTTAGAGGATATTACTAGCAATTTACATTAATGCACTTTTGGTATTTTGTACATGGACCATAAAATTAAGACTACAATCAAAACCCAGGAAGTGCCTATGCTTGCTACATGGCACTGGAACCATGGTTCAACTGGTCATTTCTGCACACAGGACCACTTCTCTGAAACACAAGTGGCCTTTTTTCATCTGTTTTTACTCTCTTAAGCTGTGTGATCCTCTCATTGTACTTCCTCTGCATGACCTTATCTATATTCATGACTTCAATTATTAGCTACATATAAGCAGCACAAATTGGTATTGCTAATCCAGACCTCTCCACCACAGACCTGTATTTCTAGTTGACTATTTTTAACGTAGGACACCTGAAAGGTACCAAAAACCTCACGACCTGCTTATTTTCTAAAACAGCCCCTATGATAATACCACTGTTTACTGAAGCCAAAAATCCGTCTCAGAAACTGTCCCCTTCCTTTCTATTCCAATCATCAGTTTTTTCAATTTTACCTCCTACATACCAAATTTACCCTGTGTCTCCTGAATCCACCTACAGGCCTTCCCTAAAAACCAAGAAAACATTTTTTATTAAATTACGATGTTAAGTCTTCCTCCTTGCTTAAAAGCTGACTTCTAAGGTAAAGACTAAAATCTCTAAAGAGTCTTGTACACCCCATTCCCTCTTTCACAGCACACTTCCCTGGATCAGGTCTTTACCTACTGCAGTTACTCCCCCAGGAATGGCCTTCCCTGAATTCATGTCACACTTTGCTTGGGGACACATGATGGCCCCTTTTCACCAATCCTGAAAAGGCTTCTAGGACCAAGGCTACATCCTGCCCAATGACCACGTGAACGCACCATCTTAATGAGAACTGCAGTGTAGCATCTATTCCTGTGAGTGCTGTGATGCCCATCTTCTCCAGAGGCAGGTGAACTTCCTAAGGGGGGTGGGGGGTACAGGCCACTTCTGGCTTATCCACATACTCTTACACAGAATTTAGCAAAGATTCACAAAGAAAACCAGTATGTTTTTCAAACCACATAGATTATAAGTGATACTACGCTAAACTATCTGATACAAACTTTTGAAAAATTATGTTCCCATAACTAGCTTGGAAATACATGAAAATTCTGTAAGTGTGATACACATCAGCTGTGAAGGAGCATACAAAAGGAGCTACACAGAGAAGAGCTGTGGCCAGCAAGGGAGAATGGATAGTCCAAACAGGGACAGCTGTTACACAGTTAAACCAATGCCAGGCAAAAAATCAAAAAACCTCAGTCTAGTCTTCCTTATTAATGACATACTTGGGATCACACAGGTAAGCCTTTAATCTAAATTTCCTTCCCTGTAAGAATTTATGAAACTAGAAAGAATAAGAAAAAATAGCTCGCAAAAAAATTCTGCAATCATTAAAGCTCCATAAAAGCTCCAGTCATATAAAACCAATATAAATCCAATGTCCATCTGAAAAGGAGGGTGAAAGAAAAGACAAGGTTTGTCACAATAGTTGTACTGAATGTACATCAAATTTGGGACATCTATCTTATTAATTCAGAAAAACATTAAACATAAACCGAGGTCCATACACAGTGCAGAGTACAAACTATACAAAGACGAATGAGACACACACCTGGTCTGTTATATAAGGTAACACACATGAAAGCAGACAGTCAAAATACTCACTACTCCAGAGTACTTCAGATACTCAGTACAAGGAGAGACACACGAATGGACATAGGTTTGATAAAAAGTTTAGGGTGCAAGAGGTGCTGTGTAGAGAAATTCCAGGCAGAGACAGAAGGGTTTGATCAGAAGGTAGTATGAGTAACTTAAAAACATGATTACAATAAAAGACATGCCATCAACTCCTCTAAAAATATTCCCCACAACCTCAAGCAAACTTTTTTCCTTGTTCCTGCCACATTGTACGCAATTTTGTGAGTCCTCTTTCATAAGCGTTTTTTTAATGAGATGTAATAAAAAAATGCAGCCAATGCTTCTGCTGTATTCCATCCAACAACAAAAAGGACGGCTTCACAACACATCATTTGCCTCATTCTCTGGATCTAGGGCTGTGCAGCTTCTGGCACTTCCCTAGTCGAAATGATGATGATCAAAGGTAAACATCTGCACCAACTCAGGACACTGAGGCAGCCACGACAACACAAAAACACACAACAAAGGACTTCCAGAACTGCTTCAAAAACTGGCAAGAATTATGCGGTGTGTTTAAAGTGGAGTATTTTGAGGCAGGTTAATGGATATGTGTTTTTACTGTGAATATTCTAGCTCAAGCGTTCATTGTATCTTTCGCACTTCATATCCAAGGAACTGAGTCACATAAGCAGTGGAATCAGAAAAGGTAATCACAAAGACAATCATAAATCAAATCACACAAGCCTTATTGTGCCCAACCTAAAGAAACATGACTTGATTTTTATTCCACAGTAATGAGAAACCACAGACACCATGAAAAAGGGAAAATGACAGGAGCAGAACAGTGGTAAACAGAAAGGAAGGTTAAAATCTCAAAGATCTGCACTCTGTTGTTTAACATGAATGACAATGTCTGTACTAATTAATTCTGCCATTTTAAACATAGAATATCTGGAATCTAATTACTGTAAGACCTTTACATTTGATGCAAGAACAAGCCTTAAAAAGTAACTCTAGAGTTTAAAAATGGGATAGTCAATAAAAATGTTTATGCTAATCAGAAACTGAAAAACACTATTCTTAGGCTTTCATCATGGCACATCCAATCTCACACTTTTACTAAGTTCTTGTCCTTGGCTCCTCAATAAACAAAAGTTTTAAAATGGTAAGGTTTTGGGGCTGGGGATTTAGCTCAGCAGCATAAGCGCCTGCCTTGCAAGCAGGCAGTCGTGAGTTCGATCCCTGGTACCGATAAAAATGAAAAAGACAAAAAAAAGGTAAGGTTTTAAAGATTTCTATTACCTGACATCAGGCCCAGGTACCCCCTGAAGAGCCACGCCCCAAGGCCCCACTGCCACCAGGAAGCATTTGTGAGCCCCCACCCCACACCTGTCACAAGCTTGGGAACCTATCAGGGGAACCCAGGTGTCCAGGCCAATCCCCTGCACCGCTGGACGGGCAGGCAGTGCAGGGAGTGCCCAGGACTTGGCAACCAGCTGATTCGGATGAACACAGGAAAACGTCAAGACAAAGAATCAGTATACAATGTCAGACCCCACCCGATCACAGATACAAACCAAATTAGAAATCACACACCTGACATGTCTGAAATGATGGCAACTGAAGTAAAGAAACAACTTAGTGCTTATATTGTTTGACTACCTACCTATGCTTGCCTGTGTCTGGTGGTCTGAGCAACTATTTAGAGGACAGTGATGTGCAATATAGTAACTACTGCTGATTTCCTATTGTCTTGTTTTTGAAATTCAACTCCTCGCTCACTGTTTTGTTTCATTTTATTGTTTTGTTTTATTCTCTTTAAGAGAAATAAAGATTTCAATTACCTGAAAAAGGACACAATGTTTCAACAGACAAAATGATCACAGAAAATGTTTAATTTCCAAATTGTTTTGCAATCCTTAATCGAAGTGCCTTAGCAGCATCTCTAGGCTATAAAAATCAGGCAAGTATCTTTTCCTAACCCATGGAAAGTTCTAGATCAAGAAATACACGTTCTTAATATGCTTGAGGCACTACTGAAGCTTCAAAGATTTTTCCTTGCCTTCACAAACCTTTTAACTTAAAGCAACATGAGGTACAAGTGAGAACATCTGCTTCTCACCAGTCAACAACTCTGTAGATCCTGTCCTTCTCACCCTGAAACAAAGGGGCATGTGAAATTCTCAAAACTCTCTTTCAAACTGGTATGCATTTAAATGTCCAAGGGGAAAAAAAAAAAAACAGCAATTAACTACAGGTAATAACCGAGGACTCTGTCAGTAATTCTATTCATAATGCTAAATAGAAAAATGGGCTGACCTTCACTACTTTGGAAAAAACAATAGCAGTGTCTTATATAAAAGTCTACATCTCAAATTAGGGACCTTATAAGCAAAAGACAAATTATAAATCTGATCAATTTAACATTTAAGAAAGAAAGACAGAGGAGTCCAGTAAAATGTAAAGTATCCAATATATGACTTTGAGGAATGTTATACTTTTAAATACAGAATTCTAACTACTTCCTGTTGTGCTTAAGTAAAATTAATACAAAACATCAGTTTTCCACCTGATGCAGCTATCTTACCTATAAAAAGTTTCAACCAAAACCACTACTTTCTACGCTGCTTAATATGATCAATATTTTGTTTTAACTCTTACTCTTGCATTCATGAATAAAGCTAAGCATGTCATGTTAAAATGTAAAAAGCAACTATGACTATGTCAGGGAAGCTATATACTGTAAAAATAATACACTTGGAAAGGCAAAATGATTCTGTTTGAGCCATTATTCTGGTTCCCTCCTCACAATAAATAAGTTGGATAAATTTCATCAGAAAATAAACAAGCTACATTATTTCATATGAAGCACTCTCAACCATCCATATGCCAGAGCAGATTACCAGTTCAGAGCCCCTAAAACCCACCAAGTATTCTGTCAATCTATCATGCACTAAGAGATGAGAAGAAATCTTAGTAACAGTTCTTGTAATTATACATGAGGCAAGTACAGAAGGTAAATATAGAGATTGTGTATAACACAATAAAGACAGATGTACCTTAATCCACTAA